TTTATTGTCATTATCAGTGACCAAGCCCCCCACCCCCGTGTCATCCAGTGACGCTACGCAACTGCCTGGGTGTACCCGGAATATATCCGGGTGTAGTCTATTTGGTGAGGCTACCAATCACCTTATCATCGTATTTTAATGTGATTTAATGGGTTTTAATTCAATTCATATTCAAGCAACTTCCCCGGGGTACCTGGAACATGTCCTAGTGTGTCCAATGTGGTCTGGAACACTTAACACGACTTGCATTGATCTTATTTTTGAATTCTGTAGTTATTTGATGTGTCGCATGATGGTTTTGATACGTTTTCCGTTAAATCCAGCGTGAAGGTCCATATTCACCGGATCTTATTCCGGCCATATCTCTGGTACCGGTTCACCGATTCCAAAACCGTTCAATAGCGTTCAATGGGACCCCAAGACCTATCATTTGGCGCCGAGTTTGTCCAAATCGGTTGAGCGGTTGCTGAGAAACGTGAGCGCATTCATTTCGTTACATACACACACACATACACACATACACACATACACACGTACACACACACACACAGACATGTTCCGATCTCGTCGAGCTGAGTCGAATGGTATATGATGGTTTTGATACGTTTTCCGTTAAATCCAGCGTGAAGGCCCATATCTCCGGAACCGGTTCACCGATTCCAAAACCGTTCAATAGCGTTCAATGGAACCCCAAGACCTATCATTTGGCGCCAAGTTTGTCCAAATCGGTTGAGCGGTTGCTGAGAAACGTGAGCGCATTCATTTCGTTACATACACACACACATACACACATACACACATACACACACACACAGAGACATGTTCCGATCTCGTCGAGCTGAGTCGAATGGTATATGACACTCGGCCCTCCGGGCCTCGGATCGATAGTCGGTTTTTCAAGTGATATCTTTACCCTTCTTTGTAAGAAGGGTAAAAAGGTTCCCGACTGCACACCAAGTTGTTTTTACAGTTGTCGGTAAACATTTTACTGACTTTCAAACAGCTGAACATTCGGTAATCAGTTCGGTAAAAGTTTGGTTTACTGAACGATCAGTAAACTTGCAATGTATACTCTACTGTCAAAAAATACCGACTAGCTCATCACTCAATAGGGGAAACGCTCCTATAGTTGCGGTACGTTAGAAGCGTTAGGTTCCTATAGTTGTGTATGGAGTCTCCATACACAACTATAGGAACCTAACGCTTCTAACGTATCGCAACTATAGGAGCGTTTACCCTACCGAAGTTCGGTAAAAATTACAAAATAATCGGTAAAAATAGAAAGGTCGTCATCTGCCAAAAATTACAGTTCTTTCGATAGTTTTAACTGAAAAACAGTGAAATGTAGGGAATTGTTCTGTTCAAATCATGCACAATAAAAAAATTTGTTTATATCTTTTATTAAATGCAATTCGTCAATCTGTTTATCCAACGAGTCAGCGATCGCCAGCCATTTTATTTGAGTGCTAAAAAATGAAAACATTTAGATAATATAAATAGTACTTACTGAAAAGATCCCTTACTTCCATCCGGCCGCAAGCACATCTAATCTCATCGGACACGTCTTCAATTTCAATGGTTTACAAGTTTTTTTTTTCTGCTAATATGCGCACGATTTTCTTAAAATTAAACCGCTTAACATGCGAAATTGACGAAGATTTGACAGGCGTGATTTTAACTGAAGCGTTCAGTAATAATTACTGAACTCCTGTATTGTTTACATTTTTCGTCAGTATTAATAAATTGTTCACTGGAAATCGGTAAAACTTTTACTGAACAGTTTAGATTAAATGACATTTCATGGCTTACAAACTACATCGGTAAAATAGATGCAAATTTTCAGTAATATTTTCATGGGAATTACCGAAAACTTGTAGTTATTTGACAGACAGAAGAAAATTAATGCAATTTTACAGATCACTCAGTAGAAATTAAATTTTACAGATCAAAACCGTAAAAAAAATTACCGAACATCAAAACTATAATTTGGTGTGTGGGACTTGAACCACGAACGTTGCAATTTTCAGACATGTGCTTTCTCCACTGGTCTTTCCATGCTTCGGAATATTTTCTTTTTTTTTTTCTTCGCATTTCAAGCTTATTGCTTATCGCATATTAGATTATTGCGTGCTCTCAGCTTAGTATTATAGATGCATTTCCACAGTTATTAAAAGAGAGCTTTCGATACCTGTACAACTTTTGCATTAGTATAATTGTGTGGTAAGTACAATCATACTGTAAAAACGTAGGGAAGTCGAGAAATTTTCCAGCCCGAAAAATTCCTAGACCGAATCGGGAATCGAACCCAGCCACCTCCAGTATGGTCTTGCTTTGTAGCTGTGCCTTTACCGACTGAGCCAAGGGAGATCCCTTGCTTCGGAATATGGATAGGCTTAAAGCGAATAAGAAGCGCTCATTACCTCTCATACTCGATTTCGTAAGATTTTCTGCTGAATGGGAATTTGAGAGGATCGTGACAAGTGTGTGCGTCGTTCTACAATGTTATAAATAAAATGCTTTCTTGTATAGTCGAAAGCGTACACAGAACACGAAATGAGATAGATAAAACATCATTAATCGTCTGCAAGTTCAACTTATATCATTCGAGAAGGTATTCGCTGCGGAAGATGATAGGAAATGCAACTAACATTCAATGTAATACATTTTTGGTTTGCGTATAGATAACTGCGAATAAAGGTCACTGTGACAAGTTTCAAAATGGATCACTTACACAGCAAAAAAAATGTAATAACGTAATTCAATCTGATGTAAGAAATAATGATGTAAGAGCAAAAAGCTGATACTATATTACATCATTGGATGTAAATTGTTCGCAAAATCGATGTACACATTTCAACGTAATATTACACAACCAGCGGAATGACCTCTGTGCAGCTGTGTGGATATAGTATTCAACAACTTTTTTTCTGTGCACCTTAATTTATTTTGATGTAATGATAGAGAAGAATCAAGAACCGATTTTTTCTGCTAATGTTTATACTAAATTCAATGTAAAAAATAAAAATATCATTCAAAATCATTCACTATTTCTAGGCAAATTGTTGCGTTATCATTCGACACAACACGACTGGATACAATTTTCACAATCGTCATAAACTATATTACCACCATAAATTATTATTTACCCACTGTCTTAAGTACGCTTGAAGCGGAGAGAATTTCACACCATGTGAGGGTGAGAGAGAGAGAGAGAGAGCACAGAACAACGCGCGATGTGTAAAATACCGAATGGGAGGCAGACGGAAGTAGAAGGTTAGGTGGTGTAAGGCAGGAAGGTGGTAGCTCGGTAAAGCTTTCATCTGAGGGTAGTTATAGGCTCTGAGGGTAGATACACATAATACATATGAATGAAGTGGAAATGAGGGATAAAACCAGAAATCCAAGTCAAGTGCGTTGGTCGAACACAGACACGACTTGCTTGAACTACATAAATGAATGATATTATTGGTGCTGAAACGGCATTGTTGCTCGGTACTGACCGAGTAAACTGGAAGTTCACGTCAGTCTGTTTTGGACTTATCGAAAGTTAGCAAGGTGTTAAGCGACCGGTTATAAGAATAAAATGTAGATTTCATGGGTATATTAGAAAGCGCATTTAACCAATAATATTGATTTGGTAATTAAGCTAATGTGTTATGTACTCTGATCCACTCGCTTGTTGAATCTAACCCCATCTACCTAGCCGAAACAGAATAAATCACTTCTTCTTGATTATTCTCAATAGATCGAATTGATAGCATTCTAGACATAAGTTCACCCACTTGTAACAAGAGTACAGAAGACCGTCTCAAGCGTAGAATAAATCACAGACATCGCATGGGATAGCAGAAAAAGCTTTTATCGCATTTTCCTTTGCTGCTTGTTGCTTGAAGATCTTAGTTCTCCATCCCCATTTCCCGCTCCAAAGGAGTTTCCCATCAAACATGCGGGCGGGAGAAGTGCCCATGGTATGAGGGAATCGTCATTCATGAGGCAGAAACCGGACGCTAACCGCACACCCACTTGTTGAATCAATGTTCGCCAAGGAGAAACGCAAAAGATTATCTCAGTATTTTTCTATTGTGCGCTTGGCAAATAGTTACAAAGTAAATATCACTTTGCAAGAAAAATCAAATTTAAGAACAAATACATACGCTATAGATGTCAATGTATAATTTGAAACTCTTTCTGCAAATGACTTTTGCATTTGAATGATGAATCAACACAATTTCCTTTTTAGTAGCTTCCCTTTTCACGAAGTTCAACCGGAACAAGTGCGACGGTCATCCTCCATCCCATGACGACCATCACCATCAGCGTAGGATATGCTTGTCGCTTCTGTAGTTCGTTATCAGCACTTTTCTTCTAACGAACTGCTTGGCATTGATGTCAAAGTTGAACCGGAAAAGCTGCTGGTATCATCACGGATCGAGGGATGCTCGCTGTTGAGATACGATTCCCCACCAACATTGAGTTATGTGCTGAATTTAATTCACCCAACCCTCAGACGACCGTAGACACAATTGGCAAAATTAAGCATTTCTAACGTCGTTATGACTCGTTTAACTTTCCTTTGAGACTGTGTGTATATAGTAAGCGGAAACGCAACAATGGCAAAATGGGTTCGCTTTAAAAGAATCACGACTCATACAAAGTGTGAAACAGACATACCCAGCAGCAACAAGGAGGAAATCGATCAAGTTCAGTGCACATTTAGGAAAGCCAATATTGCTTGTCGTGATGTTGATAATCAGAACGTGACGTACTGACTTAGGACTAAGCAAGAGAACCTCAAATACAGAATGTGTGGCGATGATTGGCGGTTCAATAATGAATTTTAATAGCGAAATCGGAAATCACATTAAATTTTCAGGCTTCAAAGTTTTAGAAAAGTATGATTATAATCGTAGTAATCGTTGATTCGAGCAAATGTCATATTCATTATATTGGTAAACACCAACAATAAGTAATATTCAACTTCGAAAACTGCTTGTCGAAACATGGAATTGGCTAAAATCGTCACCATTGTGGCGCCCATCGCAATCCACGCCAGTGGGCTCAGCGTAGTGGAGCTATTAGCCGACCAGCGGCAAATGACCGAATCGATGCTACCGGATGTTGCTTCGCTGATATTTGTCACGGCGACTAGCATGATTGCCACGGAATGGTTGCAGAAAAATCCCATCCGTCTCACGGGTACCGACGGAATGAAATCGTTCGTCGTTGCCATGATTGCGGTAAGTATGAGGAATAAAATTACTTTCCTATGGGGAATACAATGAAGATTGGTTATGCTTTACGATGATTACAGATTCTCTCGAACATTGCGGTTTGTGATTTGTCGTTGAGGCTGCTATGGATACCGATTCAATACTTTTTGCGGAATTTGAAGGATCAGAAAATAATGGTAAGTTTTTTACGTGGGGTGGGACACATCTAAATATCAATTTAAGATCGTCAACAAATCTCACGATAGCATATAAATCTACAAAAAAAATGGTTTTCATATTTTGCATCGAAATCCATCTACACGGATCGCTCTCTACCTTTTTACTGGAAATCTTCAAAATCTTCATTAATCTTTTTTCTATCTACTAAGCGTGCGAGCATCTCACAACAGCAAAGCAAAATTTTTCCTGCATCTTAGATAGAGTCGCTCACCTCGGTTTTTTAGCAACCATTATTTCGGTGAAACTGTGACGGTTAATAAATTGCATTCGAATGGTTTCCATGAGTCGCATTGGATTTGATTTACTCGGATTCAAAATCCAAATAATGCAAATAATTAAGGGATAGTTGCGCACCATCGTTTGAAACCCGTTTTTGTTACATTGATTAACTTATCACCACAATTGGATTGGCTGTTTTTTGTTACATTGATTATATTATTCTATATATATATTGGATATTGGATCGATGTCATCGTAACCGTTTCCTCACCGACAGATGTCCACAAGGTTTATCCTATGGAGATGCGCATCTAGCGATTAGTGGTTGGACATAAGTCTACTCATCACGTGAATGAAGTCACGACTTAAGCCTTTTAAGCCACGTTCACGAAGAAACATTAGGTATAATTAAATGTAACCACCGTCCATGATTTCCAGTGTCCCAATCGGTTTACCAACTCAAATGTACTATTAGTGATTCAAAATCACTCAATTATAAAAATCAAGTTGTCTTGATTAGTAAAGCACCGAAATTCACCGTATTATTCGACCGAATACATGTTCCTTTTGACTATAGTTTTAAGATGTTTTGTATAGTGAAGAAGAATTCTAGGCTCTGTAAAGTTAATTCGATTGCGCCTTATCAAATAAATAAATTAGTCTCTATGCACCCAACTCTTTTGTATTACGCTAGTACAATTTTACAAATTTTCTTTTTCTGTGGACAAGTTAGAAAATTTCTGAGGGCATAATATTTTTCTTTGATTTTTTTTTTCTGATATTTTGCATCAAGCATGGTTTTAGTTGAACAACGGAAAAAAAAGAAAAATAAGACCACGTAAAAAAAGTGTTGGGTGTATTTCACTCAAATACCCAGTCGACCACTTGTTGGCCGCATGACAGTTAACAATTTGGTGGAAACGCCGAATACCTGACTAAATAGCACTATTCGATGTATCACTAATCTTGATCATGAGCATGATGAACTCCCTACACTCAAAAAATTCCACACGTCATCATCATGTGTCTCACACTTAATTTTGCGCATATTGTGAAACACATGCATTTCATGTGTGAATTTTATGCTATGAACCATGCCCGAACACTATGGATTTGAATTGTGACACTCTTGGATTCTATGTGCCTCATATGGTGATATCAATAGCTTTGCACATCATAGTTTAATATTCTATAATATTCTACTTTATCGACTTCTACTTTACCGACTCTAAAAATGAGTCGACAAATATATAAACAAAACTGCCAGAGGCCAGATCTGTCACATATATTTTTAATGGATCTGATTTGGGATTCGATCATGGACTGTTGGGGTGAGCTGCTGCCGGAGTCTTCGTTCGATCTCACTGTGCCACGGTTGTCATCATATATGAGGCGGGTTGATAGGATAAAGTCACAACTCTTGTTTTCGATGTTTACCTTTCTGAGCAAGCAATTCACATCGTATTGAAATGCAAAACACTTTAAATCCATCTGTTTTGAACAGTAGTGTGATTCAATGTGCTATACACTTAAATGTATAGTGAATGATTTTTAACATTTCAAAGTTTGAAACACCGGAAATTAACGTGTAATTAATGTGATTTTGCATTTAAAAAATCAAGTGTTTAAACACTTCGATCAAACGTGTGCAATTTTTTGAGTGTATGGTTGCTAATCCGTTATTGCCAGATCCAGAGGCGTAACTACCGTGTTGGGTTGGAGGGGGCCATTTCCCTAGCTGACAAGACATAAACCATCGGTAGTATGGGGAGGGAGATTACTTACAATATTTTTGCTTCTAACATCAGCAAGCTGCCTATTGGCCTGAACCTTATATAAACGTCATTGGATGACATAGACTTCTTGCCGCGAGATCTCACTAACACAATTGTGCTAGTCTAACAGAGTAAAAACGATTTTGTTTATTTTTTTTTAAACCACAAAATCAACTGTCAAAGTGTCTGACCCAACAGCGGGTTTTTTTACTCACTAAAATTTTACTTAATTACTCCAAAATACGGTGTCAGAGAAGTCTATGAAGAGTGAAGTTGCAGTAACGGTATGCTAATTTAAAAAGTTAGTTACTGCACCAAGCGTCATCAAGGCATAACGTTTCTACACTAAAGGGAATCAACGAAACAAGAAATAAAAGATGAGAACCAATTACCAACCATGAATATGCAATATATCAAGCAATTTAAAATCACAGCAAAATTTATTCTGAATAATCTGGAAAATAAATTGCTCCGGTATTTATTTCTGCAATTTTCTGGGGGGGGAGCAACCCAAAGCCTGGGATAGACCAGCCTCCCCCCCCCCCCCCGGCACCCCTCGATTTACCCAATGCCTGTAGTTATACAGAGAACTAACAGATGATGTTTGAGACTAGCTACCATTCTCAAAGTGTACAAATTGATCTCTAAAAACACTTTATACAAAGACTTGCGGATTTAAAAACAGTAGAACTAGCAACCAGCAAAAATAACAACAAAAGCTACTTAAAAACTGGCCTCACTGCAAATCATGCAAACTTCACATGAACGCTTGATAATGTTTGTTTTGATATCGTAGAAAAAAGTGTTCGCTTCAACGTCATCAGGCAACCGTTTTTTTTTAATCGAAAAAATCATCCAACGCGTTGTAAATCAGTGGAAATGAACTGTTTTTATAAATATTGTGGAAATAACTCCCGAAGTGGAATGCGTTTCGTGGCGTTTTTTCGTTTTCCTCTCAGCGAATCAGAGCGCAAAAAATTGGCTATCGTTTTGTGAGCTTCCGGAGGATTTAAAAATTTTGGGAAGCCATCGTTTGTGCAGTGTTAGTATTTAGACAAAATAGTGAAAAGAGTTATTATCTCATTAAATTATACAATTTTAGTTGCATTTTGCCGAATGTGAGCTGTACATGGATTCCAGCGGTAAGGTGCGTTTACCCAGTTCAAGGATTATACAGGCAACGCTTTAAATTACGTCAACGTTGAAACGTATAACTTGTTTTTGGAGCTGGAAGATATATTTAAACGTAATATTTCAGTATTCCGATTGCTGAATGAGAATCTAGAGTTGAAATATTATAACCTGATGATGAAAGTAGTATCAGCACCACACTTGCCAGAATGTCACAAGATGAAAGAAAAAATCATCAGACGATATATTCAATTCCGCTTACGAGTAAGCCGGTAAATTTTTCCTCGAGACAAACGACATGACAGCAAATCTATGGCCATATGAATGACAACATTTAAAATATACACAATTGATTGAAGTTTCACTAGATTTTAACGCTTAATGAAAGAAAGATTGAATTAAAATCGGCATGGAACAACAAAAACATGTTTGCAGCATTTTTCTTTATTTTCCATTTTAAGTTACCTATTCGAAAATGTTAAATCTGGATAACAATGCTTCCCTCTTACCGAACCATCGAATCTTACATGTTCGTTTGGCTGCACTTTTTGACAGCTCGTTTGGCTGCATAAAACAAATCTTCGCAAGTCTTTGTATAAAGTGTTTTAAGTGATCTCATACTTTCTAATAGGCAATACGAGCGCCATCCACGTCCGAATACAGGTCAATGAAGGAATGGGTAGAAATGTGTTGACGTGATGCTCGCTTTGTTCGAAGCCGAGAAATCCTCTGTACTTCCATGATAAAATGAGACGTTGGATCTAATTGTTAGGATTGCAACAGGGTTTTTTTCCCCTTTGGTTTGTTTTTTTTCCGTCGATCTTGTTTTCCGTGCTGAGCACCAATGCTACCGACGTGCCAGGAAGGCAGTTCCCACACCTGGACCTATCGACCCATCAACTCATGAACCGGTGACCAACAGCTTTACTTCCCATCCGAAGGAAGGCGTGATCAGAGATGTTATGCCTCAGAACATCCCGGCGGCTCCGACTGGGATTGAACCCAGGCCTGCTGGGGTGAGAGGTAATCACGCTTACCACTACACCACCGGTGCCGTTGATTGCAACAGGGTTGGTTTTGGAAAATGGTACGCTGAATTAAAGTCTTAGGTTCATGTTAAGAAAGAAAGCAGCTATCGAATCTGGAATGTGAAGGGCCCTTGGAGTAACCCCATGATGTTCTGGTTAGTAAGCAAAAATGGTCAATATAAGGCCACAGAGCCCCTTATTTCACATCACACTACCAATGACCGGTACTTTACGTTATATAACAATACACCACATTACATTCAATGATCTTCCAAATAAGTAGTCAGAACCTACGAAAAAGCAATTGGGACTTTTCTAAAATCAACTTTCAACGACGTTGACTGTTTCGATTTCGCCTTGGAAACAGAGCTTAAAATGTCTACATATTTTTTATTGATTTATTTCTCTCTTGCGACGTGTCGTAAGGGGTCAGTAAGGTATCCTACTTGTCGAGATATGAACTGCTCATAAAAGCATAGCAGCCCCATCTGGAAAAACAGCGAGCCGGAAAAACGCTATTGAAAATTAATAATGGATATCTTATTTCTGACAAAAATCCACATGGTACTATTATGCCTTTATGGGCAGTGACGCTAGGAGCTAGTTTCACGGTGACAATATCACACCATTTAGTTCGTACGCTTTTTTTGATTAACTTAGTTAGCTTAGTTTAGTTTTCTTTATTAGAGAAGCTTTAAAGTATTGTATCATTCGTTTTAATAATGGTTCGATGGCTATAGGATGAAAGTCTCTTTCTCACCAATGCTTGGTAGTCATAATAATGATGATATTTTTTCTATAATTTTTAATTTTTAAATACAGCGAACTCTCTACAACTCGATATTGAAGGCACCATGGAGAACAACAATTCCATGAGAAATCACTATCACAGTATATAGCCATGAAATCCATTTTTACTATGGTTCTATAACTCGATATCGAGTTAATAAAATAAAATATTAATGTAAGGATGGTTGCTTTTGTTTTCGAAGCTAGCATGGATGGTGAGATAATTTTTTCTTTGTATTAGGATTGTTTTTTTTTATTACTGACCATTTATTTATCGTGTATTGACGTGAACACAACTTAATTGACGTGAACACAACTTAATTGAAGAAGCAATAATCTACCTATAAACGCATAACATTCCCATTTTAATAGGAAATCAAGCAAAGACGACACTGTTATGCATTTGAGGGCAGTAATGGAAATCAAACAGAATACCTTAATTATCAGTGGCAGTTCATGCAACTGGGATGGCATTTCACGCCATTTACGTTACACCGACAGCCTCCACTGGTATCGCCAGCACCACCTGGCCCCCAGCGAGGACCTCGTGTAGCCCAACATACAGCAGTCTTGCACACACTGCAGGTCATGAAGTCACATCCGGCGATTTTCGTTAGAACGATTTTGCACTTCGGGCAACGCATGGCAGCTCCAGAAGCTACCATATTTTCCAAGGCCTGTTCCGAACGACCGCTCTCATCATTCCTACTCAGCTTGTCCTGATAATCTTTGCAGCTCATATTGGCGTGAATAGTCTATCCGAAAAATATGTTTTATAATCTTTAGAACTTATTCGGAAAAGAATGATTACTTAATGTTACCCACCTTACATTTCAAACAATTATCTGTAAAACATATGGGACACCAGAATGAAGTGACATTGTTCTCAGTCAAGCACCATCCAATGCAGTCGGGTGTCTTACAATGAAATGCATTGTTGGCCAAACTTTCGGCCTTCCTCAACGATCGTCCCAAATACTCGTTATATTCATCAGCGCTAAGAAGACACTTGATTTCCCGGTCTTGAATTAAACATTCACATGAATTCTTGTCATCCGTGAAAGGACACTGAACGATCACGTCATCGGCATGCTTAATGGAATTAATTAGACAATCTCGGCAAAAACTATGGAAACATTCACGTAGAATCACCCCTTCGTAAGTATCGTATGGTCCGAAACAAACCGGACAATCGAACGGTTCCGGATTCGGAACCACACTAGCATCGGTAAGCGTCATTAGCATGTCCAATTCTTCCGACACTTCTGTAGCACTTCTGGTAGCTTGCACCATATCGTTCTTAATTGCCTCCAGTTGACGCTCCATCAAATCATTATATTCTTGCGCACTCAGCAGTGCTTTAAGTTCTCTCTCAACCAGGTTCCCTTCGCATTCATGCAGACCATTTGGAAAGGGGCAACCAATAGTAGTGGCTTCAAGTAGGGAATTTTTGAGACATTTAGTACAAAATGAATGCAAACAATTGACCAATAGAACTCCCTTTCCAATAGATATCATTTTGCTACAAAGAATGCATTCGCTCTCATCAATATTGTGAACTAAAGCCTGTTTGTCTAACTCCAACAGCTGCTGATACTGATTTTCAGTGTTACTTGTCGAAGTAGTAGATTCGATTGGAACTGAGTTCGATGTCTGCAAAATAGACCATCAATGTAATGTTTTAAGTAAAGTCTCTAATGAATTACAGCTTACCGAGCACTCCAAAGAGCTGCCAGGATCCACAATTGAGCAGCCACCGTTCCTTTTCCGAATCTTACAATCACGTGCATTGCCGACCTTCCCTAATGATTGGTCCAAATAAACGTTGTAATCTTCAACGCTGAGAAGACACTGTATATCTCGGTCCAGAATCACGTTGCCACATGGATTATTGTTGTCTTTGTTGGGACAACGAACAATCACATCCTCCGCCTGTTTAATGGAATTGCTAAGGCAATTGCGGCAAAAGCTATGTAGGCAGTCAAGTAAAAGCACGCCTTCATAGGCTTCGTACGTTTTGGAGCAAATTGGACAATCGAACGATTCCGGATTTGGAGCCAAACCAGCATCGGTCAGCAGAATCATTGATGCTTCGTCCTTAGTAGCTTCAATCTGACGATCAACTAAATCACAATACTCCTGCGGGCTTAGCAGTGTTTCCAGAACCCGCTCATTCAGAAATCCTTCACATTCGTACCGATTATTAGGGAAAGGACAACGGATAGTGGTGGCTCGAAGGAGTGACTTCTTGAGACATTCGGTACACGAGAAATGCAAACAGTTGACTAATACTACTCCCACCCCGATGGATATCATTTTAGTACAAAGAAAGCACTCGCGCATATTGTGAACTAGCGATGGATCGCTCAATTCTTGCAGCTGCTGATAGTGAGTACCACCGGAATTGTCTGCCCCAATAGCAGTACTGCTTGATGCTGCATCGGTTGTTGAAGTCTGCAAAGATATTAGAAGTTCATTACAGTATTTCAGTTAATTTGTTTTTGGAGGGAGGCTCAAATGTGAGTTGACTTTCATCTAGCATGAAACAAATCTAGATTCGTGCAGAACTGCCTCTGAAAGGTAGATATCGCTCATCTCAATTGCAGACATTTAAACTTAAGAACATTTATGGCATGCTTCTAGAACATCGCGAATCAGTAAACAACAGTTTTGTAGGCTGTGCGTTCATTAACGGGGCTACAGGACAAGGCGAACTAAGTTATTTAAAACAACGCAGTGAGTGTGTCCAATCAGCATGTGCAACTAAAAATACCAATTATACCTAGATCCCTACCTGACTAAAATGAATCAACGTTTAAATGCTGTGCGCATTTCCCGTCTATAGTTTTTGAGAAGTTTTAGAAGCAACAAAAAGTTCAAACATTTTACCAAAAGTTGATGTTCTACGATTTTTGTCAATTTTTAAGTGCGCAAATTTTTCATTTTATGATTAAACAAGACTTAGGCTATTTAAGTTTTCATCACATTTTTTAAATAAAAATTACAAACAAAATTAATTGTGTATGTTTTTCCTAGAAAGACTTATTTTTCTCTACAACTTTGTGTCAGACGTCATTTCGATTAGAAGTGACGTTTTTGAGCTACGATGTATTGAACAATGTCGAATACGCCATTTACAAAAAAAAAACAAGATTCAAAATGACCGAATTTTAGCAAAAATTAGCAAACAATTATGCAAACCAGAGAAGGTCGAGAGATGCTCAAATATTTAATTACTAATTATAACGTATCATTGAACATAAACTGGACGGATCAAGCTTCTCCCTCCGCATCAAGACGACTTGGTATGCCTTCTATCTATCTCTCTACTTGGCTTCGACGCTCTCGCTCTTACACGAGCTTCTACCTGTTCTCAAGTTATTATCGGTACAGCTGAAAACCAGAATAACCCACTAGCTACAATCGATTTTACTCTCGTTATGTACGTTATATATAGTGTCGGAAGTAGTGCGCATTATAGCGCATTATTGTGCGATTACAGCGGACTACTTGCGACACTATGTATAATGTACAGTCGCTAGTGGGTTATTCCGGTTTTCAGCTAGCATAGCATAGCGTTGCATATGCGATTGTACTAGTCGTGGAGGGCTATAAAGTCTGGTCCACTTAGAATCCGGACACTTTATTTGTTCTATAGTAGCGCCTCTAGTGTTCAGATTTAAAATATTTTGTTTTGTAAGTACCGTAAAACGGGGTATCTTTGATAATGCGGGTAACGCTGTGCTTTTTCCAAATAAGAAACATTGGTTCCATATTGTAGCTTAGGGTATTTCCGTTGATATCGTATGTAGTCTTTATGTAGTATGTGTTACATATTTTACAAAAATATTTAAAAAAAAAACCATTTTCGTTTTTTTGCCTTTTTGAAAAAGCACTCAAACCATCACTTATGAAATGTAGTTCCGATACAGCCATCACAAATTCAATGTTGTATTCTTATTGCTTATGAAGTTTTCTGATTATATACTTATTCAAAGTTTCATATTTAAAGAACAAAATTGTTTGAGTTTCACTCATTTTTTTCTACATTCATCGAGCATTATCAAAGTAACCCCAAATCAAAATATTGAAGTTCTGTCACAAAACTAAAAAAATAGTGCAAATGCTTCAATTTTTGTTCAACATATTACCAACGAATTAACTCCTGGATCCTCAGTATTTATTTTAAAAATATAAAATTTGAAAAACATTCATTGCTGTAAAAAATATTTAGAATATACTTTAAAAAACTATCAATGTTACCCCGTTTTACGGTACACGTGTTTCAGTGGTGAAAGTTTCGTCTCGATACGTGCAGTATTGAAAAAGTTTTACTAGGTGTAAGACGGGAAAAGAAAATTGATCCTGCACACCCACGTCGAAAACCCGCCGTGGTGAATTCGAAATACATATCGCGAAAAAGTTGAAAATTTCCGTTTCTACCGTGGGAGCTGGTCTGTTCCCTGATCGCAAGAGTGTGGCCCGGAAGGTTCAAAGCAAACGGCAGCTGAACTGGAAGGTGTTGAGGTCGATCAAGTGAAACCCAGGACTCTCGGATCGGGAAGTCACCAAAAAATACGGTGCCAGGTACTACGGCTTATCGGATGGTAAGCAGGTAACCGTTCATTCCGGGCCTCCAAACAATCCAACAGGACGAAGAAGCAGAAGTTGTACGACCGGGTTCTGACGAAGTATAGAGGATGCCTTTCATGGACGACGAAACCTATGTCAAGATCAGCGGAACCAAACAGATAAAACTACCAACGATAGAGACAAAACGCTTGCTACTACTACCAAGGTAAACTCTCGATGTAATATAGCTTGATCGGAGTTGTAGAAGGATGATGATATATTCCTTGCCTGCTTTGTTGCAATATACATGGTTGAGGACATAGCTTGCTCGGAATCGAGAAAAGACATAACATAAAAATTCCCATTTAAACACATGATACACGTTACTCGGCGTTACTTCGTGAAGCAACTTGCCAACAATTAGGTCGTTTCCTTCTACCGACCCGAGCGAGCTATATTGGCAAAGGCCGTTTATCATGGAAAAAAGGAAGAAGATTATATCATTATAGACGAGTGCACGGATGGATTTGAGTTCACTCACTCGACAAAAAGTGACACAACAGCGGGGCCCTGTTTACTAAAAATGAACACATGAATAATGCTCGCGTAACTTTTGAAAAGGGCTTATCAACTTTTGTACACAAAACTTGTTAAGTTCTTTTTGTACTCCATATTCAAGAACACTGCGGACCATAGAGCAGTACAGCGTACACGTCGTCAAATTGTGCAGTATTGCGGCGCAAAAATTCTAGCATGGAGTTGGCCTTTGCAACTGTCATGGATATGGGCTCGTTAAACCGTAGTTTGCTGTCCAAGATGAGCCCAAGATCCTTAATGGCATTAACCCTTTCCAGCGGCGATTGATTCATAGAGTAATCAAAAATGATCGGAGAGTGAGAGCGGGTAAGGGTAATCACTTTGCATTTGGCAGCATTGGCTTGCATTCCATTCATCTGACACCAGGATGACAATCGCTCTATATCAGCTTGTAGTGCGCAACAATCCACGATCGATTTGATCACACGGTACAGCTTAAGATCATCCGCATATAGCAGCTTGCAGGAACTTAGCATATCACACACGTCGTTAATAAACAGAACGAAAATGAGAGGTGGAACCCCCGATGGTATATGGAATACCTCGGATCTGGAATCACGTACCTTAACGAAAGCCTTCCTGGATGATAAGTATTATTTCAACCAACAAACGATCCACGGTGGAAGACCAAGGCGGTTTAGCTTCATAATGGCTAGGTCGTGAGGGACTTTGTCAAAAGCCTTAAGGGGAAGCTCACCGGCCCAAAAATAAAAAAATATTTTCGGTACGTTTTTATTTTTCTAAAAATATTGGGAAAAATTATCAAAAATCCAAGAAAATCAGTTTCTTCCTTAGATTTTTGTCAAAAATTACATGCAAAACAATTTTTTCTATCCCATCATGAAAAAAAATTGGACTCTCAGAAAAACCGAAAAGTTGATGTTTTGTGGTTTTTTGAGTCCAACTTTATGCCATAATGACTTATAAAAAACATGTTTTTGCACGTGAATTTTCTTTAAAAAATTAGAAAAAATGTGATTTTTTTAGATTTTTGATACTTTTTTTTTCAATATTTTTAGAAAAATCAAAACGTAATTTTTTTTTTTCGGAGCGGTCTGCTTCCCCTTAAAGAAGTCGATGTAAACGGAGTCCACTTGCTGACACTTCTCGATGCTACCTATAAGAGTGTTCGTGTAAGTCATCAAGTTAGGGACTGTCGAGCGCTTTTTCATGAATCCATGCTGAAACTCTGAGATTATGGGTTAAACAGCTGGATACAACTTCTCATGCAGAAGACTTTCGAGAACTTTGGCCAAGCAGTTCAGGATCGAGATAGGTCGGTAATTTTCCACTTTGTGCATGTTACCGGACTTGAAGATTGGTGTAATTGAGGCGAGCTTCCAGGCATCCGGAAAAACGCCATCCTTAAGTGATCGACTGAAAATAGACATAACGGGAGTAGCCAACGATGCTGCACAGTTCTTGACGAAAGACGGTGGAATACGGTCCGGGCCTGGACCTTTCGATGGATCGACTGAGCAAAGGGCTTTGAGAATAGCGTTTTGACTGAAGATGAGCTGCTGCAGGTGAATGTCGTATCTTGGTAGCTGATCAATGTATTGCTGCGGTGGAGGAGTTTGATCGGGTTCGAAAACACTTCGGAAAAAGTCAGCGAAAAGGTCAGCAGAAGTTTTATCTGGCCACAGGACGGGTCGAACTCCTAAGCAAATTCAAGTTTGTTTTCGCCGATAAATTCGCCCGGAAACTGAAAAAATGACCGCTGAGATTGACCAGTCCAGTGTGTAGCAGACGATGTCGGAAATTCCAAAGAAAGTCCGCGAGTTCATCCGAACGCCGTCGAAGTAATTTTGCATTTTTGTTTTATGAAGGTACCAGTGGTTGAAACAGTTGACGTTTTTTACTACACTCGCATCGTTGTCGTGCGCGACAGTCTGTTTGTATTCGTACACTCATGCTCTACCGTCGTCTCTCTCACACAACACAATCGGTATGACATGAGTTACTTCGTTCTAATTCCGCAATTTAATATAATTAAGCCATTTCTGATCAGAAATGTTATTCCTAGGACATCATTGCTTGCTATTTTCAGAATTCACACAAGCGCAACATCAGCAGCTCTTATTTAGAGAAAAAAACCAAAATACATGCATTCGTAACGGTCTTCGGCGACAGTGTCGTATTACAGAGCCCAGGGCTGATAGCAGTGTTAAGCAATAAAAATAGTGAATTAGTGACTAAAAGCATTTAAAAAAAGTGACTAAAAAGTGACCAAAATCATTTAAAAAGTTACCAAAATGTGACTTAAACATGATCAGAAAACTTCC